GGTCCCTTCCCCGCACCCTCGCCAGCACTTGCTTCCTGTTCAGCCAATGCTTTCGCATGAGTGGACGGACGGACGGACGCTTATCCGGTTGCTCTTCCTGACAAGTTAGTGAAATGCCTGTTATTTGCAAGTCCACCCAAAGCATGAGCAACAGGCAAGCCCATCCCAGAGCTGGAGGGTGTTCTGGAACCACAGGGGAAGCGGGGTGCAGAGCCCCCGGGGGGAGGAGGAGGGGAAGGGCAGGCTGGGGCTGCCGCCCAGGGCAGAGGTGGTCTGGCCGAAGCGCAGGGAGGCTGGGGGCGGGGGGTGGCCTCTGTCTCCGGACAGGTACGCTCGGTGGCCCCTCCTGCCCTGGCTGGTTTGGGCCGAAGCCGGGGTTATTTAGGGTCTGGTGGGAGCCACGCCTGTGACTTGCACACTCCTGCTCGCCTGCCCACCCCTCACTCTGCTCCTTGGGCAAGCTACTCCACCTCTGGAGCTACTCCCTCCGAGTCTGGAAAGTGGGGGTGAGTGTCGAGATGAATCCGACTTGGAGGAGGATGAGGGGTCTGGCCCAGAGTCAGCAGGCAGCCGCCTGCATTTTTTATTTTTTGAATCCTCACCTGAGGATAATTTTCCATTGCTTTCAGAGAGAGTGGAAGGGAGGCGGGGGAGAGAGGGGCAGAAACATCCCTGTGAGGGAGAGACATCACTTGGTTGCCTCCTGCACGTGCCTCACCTGGGGCAGGGAGCGAACCCACAACCCTTCGGTGTGCACAGCCCGGCACTCTAACCACTGGGCTGCCGGCCAGGGCAGGCTGTCTTTATTTTTTAAACAGAGGGGAACGTTCTGTGGGTGAGGCTCAGAGCCCAGGGAGGCGATCGGGGCTCTGGTGGGACAACTGGGTCTCCTGACTCGGCCCCGGGCACCCTGCCCCGTGTTCAGTCTTCCCAACACTTCCTGAGCACTCTGTGCCACGCGCTGTGTGTGGGGGTGAGAGGGGGTGGGTTGGGAGCCCCCAGCAGCGCCGCGGCCCTCGCCAGCGCCCCGCCCTCCCCCACAGGATGGTCCAGGAGCAGTGCTGCCACAGCCAGCTGGAGGAGCTGCACTGTGCCACTGGCATCAACCTGGCCAACGAGCAGGACAGCTGCGCCGTGTCCGCCGCCAACGCCAGCCTGGAGGCCGTGTTCGTGAAGGTGA